AGAGCAGGTGCATTTATACGGAGACTTGATTACACACAGGTGCATTCTATTTATCATCATCAGTCATTTAGGACAACATTGGAATCATTTTTTTTGTTGCTTGTTTCTGCCATAGAGATTTCTTTAACACTTGTTGCTCTACTATCACATGTACATTACGGACATGACAGAAATCCCTTGTCAAGTGCCAGTATCAAGTAGTTATCACAGACGACTTTACAAAACCGCTGAATTCGCCAACACAGATTAGAGATTCAAACAGTTCAAACGCAAAAAATGCAATGATCTAAAAGTCATTTATTGGTCCATCAGGGGCAGATGACCAATGTCCATAAATGTCGTTATATGCTGAGTGTTCTGGATCATCACTGCTGTCCTCAAACCAGTGCCATCTTCTCATGTGCTGCGTGCTGATCTGAGCATATGCTACACGAGTACAACGTGTTAGCACCTCCAGTTGAAGTGCTACATGTCTCCATCACTTATTTATGCTCAGTGGATTTATGCAGATGCACGTGCACACAACCAAAGGGGGGGGGGATTGGATGTGAGCCAGAATCTATAGGATGCTCAATATAGAACATGTCTTTGGCAATGTGTTCATCCAATTAGGACTGTTTCTGGCCCTTTGTATATGATTTTACCGTGTCAATTGTTTCCTGCACTTTTTTTTTGTTTGGTTTATTTCTGCTCTTTAAACCCTATTCATGTATTTATGTACTTGTCTGGTGCACTCTGGGGACTTTTGAAAATTATGCCAATGTGGTTTAACTGCAAATTGGAAATAAATGGAATTTGATTAATCTAAATCTGTCTTTTTAAAATCTGCACATTAGGAAAAAACATATTTTTGTACAGTTTAGAACAGATAGCAAAGGACAGATTCCCACCCACCCCGCTCACACACAAAAAAGAAAGGAAAAGAATGGATCAAATGCAGAGGACGTGTTTCCTTATGGGGACTATAAAGTGCACCTTAAATGTGTCATTAATTTGCCATTGGTCCAGTTATCTCAATTATTTCCACATGGATGGGAGAGAAATGTCAAAGAATCAACATTTGTCCCAATTCAAGATTCTGAAGAACAGCATTTACTTGTTTAATTTGTGATGTACTTAGAATTATGAACTGTATTTTATTAATTTCTTATGATTAATTAAGAGTAAAAGATCCTTTCTTTGTCCGACTGCGGAGACATTTCAGTGTTGCATCACTGCTTACGGAATAGAAATGAGGAGCAAACAACACAGGATAAATGAACCATTACTAAAATAAAATAAAATCTATACAATTCGCGTAATACAGAAGCACGTACAACATCTCTGGCTTTGGCATGATGAAGAAACTGTATAATTCTTGAGCACAACACAGTACATAGACACGTGCTGCTCCTTAGTGGTGTAAAGTTGAAGCTACATGTTCTCTAAGACTTTCATTTATTATTGATCATAGGAGAAACTCTCATTTGGATTGTAAAAAAAACAAACACAAAATATTGTACATTATTTCTCGATGAATAACCTCTGTTCATATAACTGTTTAAAAAAAAAAAACCTGTAGTGCATATAGTGGGCACTTGATGGCAGCAGATAACAGCCTGTCTGAGAGGTCAGCGGGCATTAGGCAAACTGTTGAAACACATTACACCAGTCACCCCCAAAGCCCAAGTCCTAACTCCCAGAGCACTCAATATGACGGATCTGAGAGTTCTGGTAGTTTAATATTTCCGGGAGTCCTCGTGTTAACTCTTGTCAGAATTAAAGGAGACATACACACAGATCACTATGTCTTTTAGACGAGGACTCCCAGATTTATGAAACTACTAGAACTCCTAGAGCCATCATTTTGACTGTTGCTTTTCAAGTGAATGGAATCCTTAAAAAAATCTCAAAAAATGTTCAGTTCATCACCAGTCATTTGACCTTTACTCACTTTTACTTAGTGCTAAAACTGGTTTATTTTGCTTGGAAGAAGTATGATGAAAGGCTAACTGCTGACAGTAAACAGTGTATTGCTATGTTAACCAGCACTAAGCTACTACTCATAATAAAGACATAAAGATAGAAGAGGGGTTGATTAAAATATGACATAAAAATAAACAACATAGAAACAGTAAATGTCACAACGCTCAGAAGACCAAACATGTGCATGAGCTGAGTAATTACCCTTCAAAAAGTAAAAGCCGTCCAATGTACTATACTCTGGGAGTTGTAGTGTTGATCAATGAGGCAGATGTAGCAGTTTGAAATTGTAGTTGTAGAAAAAGGAATGTATAAAGAAATCAGAAACATTTGACACAAGACTATATAAGGCAACTTGTAATTCATGCAAAAAACACAACTTTGAAAGAAAACCAAAGTGCAATGGAGTGATTAAGGGAAACGTTAAAACAAAACACGCTCCCGATTTCATAATTTCTCTCTTTTAGTTCTGACTCTGGGCACCAGCGAACCGGGAAACAGATGAAGCGGAAGAAAATGGAAAAAAATGGTCTGGGCACCAGCAGGAGCCAGTCCCTGTGCTCCTCAGAGTCCCAGCAGGAGGCCAGTCCCTGTGCTCCTCAGAGTCCCAGCAGGAGGCCAGTCCCTGTGCTCCTCAGAGTCCCAGCAGGAGGCCAGTCCCTGTGCTCCTCAGAGTTCGAGTTCATATGACACTAACATGTTGTGAATAAGAAGGCTGACCCTGCTGCAGACATGTTTATGAACTGAATGTTTGTGTGCCGGTAAACGTCTGGTCATTCGTGCAGGTTAATCTTTCATTTTGGCTAAAACCATTTTGATTCCGTCTAATTTTGTTTTCCATTCTTTCCTCCAAGTATAATTGGACACCTGTTACACTGAGTCAAACTTGGGAACCCAGGGACCAACATTTTGAGTTGGAGTTTTCGAGTATGTTTCTGTTTGTTTGAGTTGGACTGAGATGGTTCCTGCAAATGAAAGCAGCATTTGTATGTGTAGGAGATGGCAATGTGGGCGGGACTTAAATCTGTCAATCACTACACAACTGACATGTACCTGAGATTCTCATATGGATTTTTTCTAATAACAAGATTAGGGTTTTACTAGTTTAAGCCTGTCCTCACACACAGAGGCCACACCATAGCTACATCATGTGCCCATACCTGCATGTGAAAGCCAGATCCCGTCACACCTCTGAAGCTAAGCAGAACAGGGCCTGGTTAGTACTGTGATGGGAAACCACCTGAAACACCGGGTTCCAGATTGGGGCTGCTGCGGCTGTAAAAGGCCAAACAGTGGTTGTGTCCTTGGGCAAGACACTTCACCCACATTGCCAAGAATGAGTCTAGTGTGAATGGTTTGTGGTGGTCGGAGGGGTCCAGAGCCATATTCCAGCATCTTCCTTCTGGCTGAAGATATGGTTTGCAGATATGTTTCTTTCCACAAGCTGTTATGAGTTTGAACAAAGCAATATCATGATCTTGCACTCGCTTCTATTGATTGGTTTCACAGTGACAATTGTTTTCTGTAATGTTTACTTTGTTTTGTTCATGTACTGGTCTGGTGCACACCGGGGACTTTTGCGCATGTAATCCTATGTGGTTTTACTGCAAATGGCAACTAAAGTGAATCTAAATCTATTTTTTTCTGCTTCCCATGTACATTAAGTACCATCACAAAACAATAAATAATTAATAATCACATAATTTGTGCAATAAGCGATCAGTACCCTCCTAAGCATTTAGGATCACAACAAATGATACATTGGGAAAAACATGATACGATGTACAATTGCAATGTAGAATGTTTATTGAAAAAGGCTGTGAATGTTTGAATTCAGATTACAGGTTTACAGAACTAAATGATTGGAGTGCTGCAGCTCTTTGGTTCCAGCGCTGAGGTCTGGGGCTCTGCCAGTTCCTCTCAGAGTGCAGGCTCAGGCTGCAAGTGGAAAAGCCAACTGCTTTGAGGGGCCAAGCTCCTCTGCAGGGATCAGAGTCAGCAATAAATGAGAACCATACAAAATAATGTGAGGAAATCAAACTTTGTAATCCTGGCTCATTGGATTTAATGTTTTAGGAAATGCTTCTAGTGTGTATGGGCCTCTAAATTTGTATATCTATAAAAATAAAACAAATCCTTTAATTTCATTTCTTTTCATATGAAGTCCAAAGATTAAAGATGGCAAACCTGTAAACTGTTTTTTGGCTTATTGTCTTAATACTAAATTTTGAGCCACATTGGCATTATTTCCAATGTGCTGCCACAGTTGAAGATAGACAAAATACAATTACAATTATAATTTATACTCAGCTCTTGGAATTCATATTTTTGAATGTTTTCTGAAACATCAGATGAACACATGGTTGATTGTTGGTATGAGTCTGTTGTACACGAAAGCTGCTGCGAGTACCTGAAATAAATGATGCTGCAAAATCCTGCAAGAAAGTATCTTTGCTTACATTTTTTCCTGGATCTGATGATGTGATATTTTGGTTCATATATTATTTAAATGCTCATAAAATAAATCAGTAACTATTTCTAAAAGCCCAGTTCCTCAACATGACCTTAATATCCTCAAGGTATTCAATTTATTTTTGCACATAAGATTGAGATGTTTCTGAAGTTGGAACATTTGCATTGATGTGCTCCTTGAAGTGCTCAGTGAGATTCTCACCTTAGATTTCTCTTCCTTCCTTCTTGCTCACTGCTGATACCATAAATGTGTAATGGCCTCAATAAACTCTGTGTTCCACACTTCACTTCCGAATGGCAGGTGTAAAGAGGAAGCCTCTGAGAGGGCTATAAACTTGAAAGCCTTGTTCTCTTTGTGAAAGGACTTACAAGAGTTAACTAGGTGATTCTTTTGGGAGGGGCGTGATGATGCAAAGCAGGCAGTGGGGGTGGATTCTGCTCTGGAAAATGTATTGGTCGAGTGGAAAAACAGGTCCATGAAAAAAGAAAAAGCCAGAAGATTTCTGGGTGAGGGGAACTGGAGCATTGGCCTGTGGATGAACCCACGGGGGACTTTGCTGCTGGGGTCATTCCAAGTTCAGGTCTTTCCCTGGCTGACTCTGCAGAGCGGAGGAGTTGTCCCAGCTCAGGCCTGTGCTCTTGACGGCCTCCAGCTCCTGCTGCTTCCCCCAGGGGCCGGTAACACAACCCACCTCTAGAGGAGTCCTGAGGCCTGAGCGCAGAACTGGGCCATGCCCTGGGTAAATGCAGGTCAGGCTCTCTCTTCTCCCCCTCCTTTTTCCAATAAATATTATTTTTTTGACAGGTCATTGGAAGGTTTGTTTATGGAGATCTTATTCCTGTGTGTCTTTGAGAGGCATCTGATTACAAAACAACAATACAATAAGAGAAAGTAAAAGGTAACCACACATGTGCATTCTCAGCAACAACATAGTGAACATTCTGAACATTCTGAACGGTTGGTTGATTTTCATTTTGTTCCTACTAGATTCAAAACCTCTGCGCTTCAACAGTCCCTGTGCACATGGATTTGTGTTGTTCATGTTTTTATGGCGGGTCTCTGCTCCATGTTGGCACACATGCTTGCTGTGACAGAGGGATCCTCCAGTACAGTTCAGCAGAATGCCAGTTAGTCGTAATGATGTTGGTGGTGATTGTAGCATAGCGGCACAGGTGGAAATGATCGCCAATTTTTCAGAGCTTATTAAAAACATTATGTAAACACTTTATGGAAGCATCTAGAACACTATTCCTTTCACAAACTATTACAGTTGCATTATTGTATTTGCCTATGGCATTTTAGCAGTGTTCAATAACTTTAATGAAAAAGTTGAGTCACATTTTCACTTCATAAATCAACTATACAGGGCAATTTGCTTCTCATTCTTCACAAAGTAAAAGCACCAGGCGGATTGGGCTTGAATTGTAAGAAAGCTGCACAAGACAAATGAGGGACAATCTATCATGGCGCACTCACCGCCCAAACAGCGAGTCAGGGGTGGCCAACTAATCAGGCAGTTTGCACAGGCAGCACAGCATGGTTCCTTTGAGTGGATAAGTGGTCCCTCCCATAATGTCAAGAGTGAAGCCGGTACCAGGGGTTAGGCAGAGGTTGGCAGGGAGTTAATGAGATGACTGAGCTGTGGAGACATATGTAACTGCACCAGAAGAGGTTTAGAATGATGACAAATTAGGACAGTTCCCATAAGTAACGGTAATCTTTTGAAGGGAAAAGGCCGTCATATGTGACTAAACCAGGACACTGAAGGCCATGACGGACACAATATTAGGACTGCAACTTCAGTTCATTTCCAAGCTTTTGCAGACATAATCGAATAAAACAAAGCCTTGCCTATAAGATGTGTAGCAATGTGCATCAGAAATATGTCAGAACAGAGACGCCAGACCACCCTTGAATTAGCACCAAGTTCAGACAATCCAAATAAACCTAACCTTCATTGATTCTGATTCCTTGAATATTTGTATATCATCAGCTCAGTCTAAAACATTATGGTCAGATTCCACACTGGTCCTAATGTATGGCATTCTACCATATATCAACCAATTCTACTTCATAGTGCTACGCCCCTTAGGCTCGCTTTGGGTATGACTCCAGAAGCACCAGCTTCCCGCCAGAGAGAACTCAATGCTCCAATCACTGTGCAGAACCTCCTATAAATAGGCCACAGCAGTCCATGCTCTTCACTTTGAACTCTGGCGCCATTGAGAGAAGTTCTACTCACCATTGAAGATCGCGATGTCTACTCCTCCTCGTCCGAGAACTCCTTCGCCATCCGGCGTCGGACGAAGACGGTGCGGTGGCTGCCGGACCAAGCTCCACCGCAAAGACCGGCACGAGTTCTGCTTCCTCTGCCTGGGAGTTCACCACCACCGGGAAGCGGCGACGTGTGCGGCGTGCCTTTCTCTCCCCGGGGAGGAGAGAGAGCGCCGCGCTGCTTATGCCACCTCCGCGGAGGCTCGCCCGGGTCCCTCCCAGGAGGAGGAACCTGAGGTTGAGTATGTCCCGCTCGACCTGCCTCCTGCACCCAGGGAGTGGGGAGACTGTGTTGTGGAGGAAGAGTTTGACGAGGACCGGGGTTCCTACGTCACTCTCGACGAGGCTATTTCCTTGTGCGAGGAACAAGACCGCTTCCCTCTGGACCACATGCCCCGCCTCTTCGCCATGGCAGCGGCCACCATGGAGACCCCCCTGCCTCCGCAACCCACCCAGAGAGAGAGCGACTTCACGTCGGTGGGTTCATCGCTTCCAGGGAGGAAGAGACGAGCTCCAACACTGTGTCCGCGGATGGATCCGGTTTTCCATTACGCGGCACGTGATTGGGCCAAACCCCTAGCAGCTAAGAAGCCTGCTCTGGGGTACGGCGCCTATTGCTCGGTCCAAGACTGGTCCTGGTCCAAAGGGGTCCCGGAAGTGGAGGACGCTGTCCGGCTCGCACTACTCCCGCAGTCCTCGGTGTGGCCCGGCAGCAGACCTCTCCTTCCCTCGGAGCGGGATAGGATGAGCATGGCTGTTCTGGATAGATGCTACGCTAACGCAGCACAGGTCGTTGCGTTAGCTAGCAATATGGCTCTTCTCACCGGGGCCCTCGATAGGTCTCTATCCACGGGTCAAGCTCTCACCGACGAGGACCTGGACCGGGCCAGAACCACCACGGCGGCCATACTCCGTATGATCCAGGCGCTGGCTATTGACGGTGGGCGATCCATGGCGTCCGCACAGGTCGGTGCTCGCCATCTGTGGCTGGGGCTCGCGGACATCAAGGAGACGGAGAAGAGGCAGCTCCTGGACCTCCCTATCTCCATGGATTCCCTCTTCGGTCCAGACATGAAGGGGCTCGTCGCGAGACTGGACGCTGCTGCCAAAGACTCCGCCATGCTGGCTCCTCATCTGCTCCCTCGCCGTGTGTCACAGCAGCAGCAGCAGCAGCAGCAGCAGCAACAACAACAGCAGCAGCCTTATCGCGGCAGAGAGAGAGTGAGAGACCGGTCACCTCGGCGACGCTCAGCTCCGCCCCCTCCTGCTCCTTGCCCGGGCCGCTACACTCCGCAGAGACCACGGGGTTCAGAGCCTTACTCCGGTGGTTTCCGTGACCAACGCTCCCACCGCCGCCCTCCCTACAGTCGGGGAGTTCGGGGGGGGAAAAAGTTTTTCAATAAACGACAAGGTGTACCGTATTCTCGGTCTGAGCGTCATCTTTTTGCCATGCATGGTTTGTCATCTCAGGTAGAGGGCAGCATTGCATCACACACAGGTCCATCACCTTTGGTTACGTTGAGTCCACAGCGGCCGCATCCCTCCATACCACTTCCCACAGCGGCCAGTGTAGTGTCTGCTGGGTCAGGACCAGGTTTTGCGAGCCTCTCTCCCTTTTCTCAGCGTCTCCGGGGTAAATCCAGCACTTCATTCCCCAGGGGTGGTAATGAAAGTCTAGGTCAGGTTTTTCCCTCCGTCTCCGGGGTTCCCTCTGTTAGTGGTGTTACGCATACAGAGCAGGACGCTCCCACACACGTCTGCCCTTCAGCTCAGGCTGCTGTCATTTCATCCTCTGGGCGGGGAGTGAAACGCAGATTACCGCTGTCTATAAGTGAGTCAGGGGGCCTGGTCCCAACCTCCTCACACAGCACATCTCATGAGGTGTTTCGGCCCTTTCGATGCCCCCCCTCTCCGCTGGGAGCGCAGGGAGAGTGGGGGGCTATTACACCAGGTGCTCCGGGTCCTCTCCTTCCCCTCACAGAGCAGTTTCGGGTCTGGGAAGAGCTCGGTCTACTGTCAGACCCCTGGTTAAAGAAAACGATGCGCAGGGGCTACGCTCTGCAGTTCGCACGGAGACCACCGCCGTTCCAGGGCATTCGTGCGGTGCGCCCTGCAGATCGGGAGACAGAAGAGGCGCTCCAAATGGAGGTCGCCTCCCTGTTACGCAGAGGCGCCGCGGTCCTGGTGGACCCTCGGGACGCCTCCAGAGGCCTGTACTCCCCGTATTTCCTGGTCCCCAAGAAATCAGGGGGGGTGCGCCCTATATTGGATCTGCGCACTCTGAACCAGTGCATTTCCAAACGGCCCTTTCGGATGCTTTCCACAAAACATCTGTTAGAGTGCGTCAGGCCCGGGGACTGGATGTCAACCATAGACCTGACGGATGCTTACTTCCACGTTGCCATAGTACCGGAGCACAGACGCTTCCTGCGCTTCACCGTGGGAGGGAAGTGTTACGAGTACTGTCGCCTCCCCTTCGGTTACGCTCTGGCCCCACGCACCTTCTCCAAGTGCGTGGAGGCGGCGCTGGAACCACTCAGACGCGCAGGGATCAGTCTCCTGACATATATAGACGACTGGCTGATTCTGGCCCCGTCTCTGGAGCAGGCCACCATTCACACGCACTGGGTCCTGTCACACGTGCAGCGCCTAGGCTTTGTGGTGAACAGGGAAAAGAGCAATCTGCAACCCGCACAGCGCTTAGTCTATCTAGGTCTACAGCTAGACTCGGTGGAGTTTCGGGCAGCGCTCTCCCAGGACAGACGCTCGAGCATCACGCGTCTAGCTCAGGAAGCGCTGACCTCTCCCACAGTGACCGCCCGACGAATACGGTCTCTATTGGGGATGATGGCATCAGCTCATGCAGTGGTGCGGCTAGGTCTCCTTCACTTGAGACGTTTCCAGAGGTGGTTCTCCCGTCTCCGACTACATCCCACAAGAGACGGGGGCAGAAGGCTCATTGTTCCTCCAGGAGTGGCCGAGGACCTGAGCTACTGGCTCACGCCCGGTCTGATGCTGGAAGGAGTTCCCCTGGTAGGTGCCGTGGCACACGTGGAGGTGTTCACGGACGCGTCTCTGGAGGGATGGGGGGGGGTTCTGCACCAGAGCTCTGTGGGGGGCGCCTGGTCAGGCCCTCTTCGTCACATCAATCTGCTGGAGATGGAGGCGGTTCACAGGGTGCTTCTGCATTTCGCTCCACAACTAGCGGGGAGACACGTGATGGTGCGCTCAGACAACACCACAGTGGTGGCGTATCTGAACCGGCAGGGGGGCACGAGGTCCCCAGCCCTCCACCGACTGGCAGCGACCATTCTGATCTGGGCTGCAGGGCATCTGCAGTCTCTGAGAGCGCGTCATGTTCCGGGAGACAGGAACACAGGGGCGGACATAATGTCACGGGGAGGCCCTCTCGAGGACGAGTGGGGCCTCGACCCGCAGATGGCAGCGGAGGTCTGGCAGAGGTTTGGTCGGCCTGTGGTCGACCTGTTCGCCAGTGCAGACAACGCGCAATGCCCGCTCTGGTTCGCACTGAGACCCACGGACAATCCGCCTCTAGGGGTGGATGCCTTGGCTCATTATCCGTGGCCAGGGGGCCTGTTGTACGCCTTCCCCCCCCCTCGTCTCCTACCGATCCTACTGAGGAGGATCGAGCAGGAAGAGCGGGAGGTAATCCTGGTCGCCCCAGACCGACCACAGGCCCGTTGGTTCCCGTTCCTGACCAACATGTCTGTGATGGACCCGTGGCCTCTCCCGGACGTGCCAGGGGGCCTGGTCCAGGGAGGGGGGACGCTTCGCTCCCGCCCAGTCCTGGGCCACAGGCTCTGGGTTTGGAAGCTGAGAGGCAGAACCTAGTCCGACTAGGCCTCCCCCGGGCGGTGGTGGATACCATCCAAGGGGCGAGGGCACCTTCCACCGTGAGGGCTTACGGGTGCCGGTGGAAGCTTTTCAAAGACTGGTGCGCGGCCCACTCGTGGGACCCCAGGTCTTGCCCTCTAGAGGGCGTCCTGGGATTCCTGCAGGACCTTTTGGATAAGGGCAGGGCCGCTAGTACCTTGGCTGTGTCCGCTTCGGCCATTGCCTCTGGTCACGAAGGGTTCGGGGGGTTTTCAGCCCGCTCCCACCCGTTAATCAAACGCTTCCTTCGGGGGGCCTACAGGAAGAGGCCGGTCCTTAGACGAACACCTCCGATCTGGGACCTCAAGGTGGTTTTGAAAGGGCTGTCAGGGCCTCCTTTCGAACCCCTGACTCGTGCCAGCCCAGAATGCGTGGCCTTCAAGACCGCACTCTTATTGGCTCTGGTATCAACCAAGAGGGCGGGAGAACTGTGCGCTCTTTCCATCAGCCCGGCCTGCCTGTCCTTTGGTCCGGGGGATGGGTTGGTGGAGTTGTGGCCCAACCCGGCCTTTCTCCCCAAGGTCGTTTCCTCAACCTTCAGGTCCAGGGTCATACGGATCAGACCTTTTCACCCTCCGCCTCACGCCTCGCAGGAGGATGAGCAAAGACACCTGTTGTGCCCTATCAGGATGCTGAGGCATTACCTGGAGGTCACGTCCTCTTTCAGGCGCACGGATCAGCTGTTCGTGTGCTTGGGGCCTAAAAACAGAGGCGCCCCGTTATCCTCCCAGCGGCTGGCCCACTGGGTGTCCCGGGCGATTCGCTCGGCGTATCAGGCCCAGGGGATGGTGCCCCCGGTGGGGTTCCGAGCGCACTCCACTCGGGGCGTGGCGGCCTCCATAGCTCTGCTACGAGGGGCCTCGGTGGAGGAGGTATGCCAGGCTGCGTCCTGGGCTTCGTCTTCCACCTTTGCTCTGTCTTACCTGGTGGATGTTTCAGAGCGGTCGGTTGCTCACTCCATCCTGAGCTCTGGGACTGATGCGACCGTGTCTGGCTCTCTCTGAGGCTTCTGCGGTCTATGTTGTCTGGAGCGGCCGGCCCCTCCTGGAGCTCTTGATAGAGGCGTCCTGGGCTCAGCCTTCTCCTTCTTCCTTCGCGGCTTTGTGCAGTCCTCAGGTGCTCTTGGTAGAGGCGGCCTGGGACTGTTCCTTGTTCCCCTACGGGGGCGCGCGCGGTGTTCCTCAGGAGCTCTTGATAGAGGCGTCCTGGGAAGTGACCTTCGCCCTTGGGCGTTTGGTCAGAGACTTGGCTGTTCCTGGAACGGCCTCCCTCTTGGATTCTGTTAGTGCTTCGGGCGTCCTTGATAGGAGCGGCCCTACCACTGCTTCACCTTTGAGCTTATCCTTGGGCGTCCTTGATAGGAGCGGCCCCATCACTGCTCATTCCCTGTCTGTCTTGAGTTCCCACACCTTGGAGGTGTTTAGGGCCTACTCGGCAGGGCTCCAATCACTGCTAGCTGGCCTGATGGGAGTACATACTCTTAGGCTACGCTTCGTTACCCAAAGCGAGCCTAAGGGGCGTAGCACTATGAAGTAGAATTGTTAGTTACCTATTGTAACTGTAGTTCTACGAATAGTGCGTAGCCCCTTAGCTACGGGCCCATCAGTCCAACCTGGCTTTGGCGAGTTCAAAGTGAAGAGCATGGACTGCTGTGGCCTATTTATAGGAGGTTCTGCACAGTGATTGGAGCATTGAGTTCTCTCTGGCGGGAAGCTGGTGCTTCTGGAGTCATACCCAAAGCGAGCCTAAGGGGCTACAGGTGAAACTCAGAAACAGTCTCAAAAGTCCATTTACTACAACTTACAATGTGAAACTAAAACATGACAGATTCATTACACATAAAGTGAGATATGTAAAGACATTATTTTCAATCATTGATATATTTGTTTGTGCCTTTACAGTGTATTTTTTATTGGTTTTAAATATTGTCAATGTGAAGCACTTTGGGTTGCATTCTGTATGGACTGTGCTAAATGTTCATTGATTGATTGATCCCTAAATAAATTGTATGGAGAAAATTAGAATAATTGGAAAATGAATTGTAATATAAGTCATTAGAATCATAACAAACAATGGCTTGATACTGTTTCATGTATAGATTTCACATTTTAAGCTGAATTACAGAGATAAATTAACATTTGATTGAGGATTCTAATATTCCAGAGTTTCAACCGTTTATGTGAAAACTGCAAGAATAAGGGAGTGGTTCTATAGGCAGGGAAAGAAACTTCAGGATCCACAATTTTAATTTATATTTGAATAAACCGAAAGATTTTTTTCTCACGCTTTAGTTATTTTTTGTCAGATATATAAATGACTAAAACAGTCTTCTGAGCTGTTGTTGCCCACCTTGGGTAACAACAGCAAGACACCTCTCAGCAAGAAGGTCGGAACAGAGCCTTTCTGAGTGGAGTTTGAATGTTCTTCCCGTGTTTGTGTAGGTTTCCTCCAGGTGCTCCGACTCAATAGGTAAAAATCCTCCAGCTGAGGTAGTCCTAACCAAACCAAGCATCATAATCTGGAGATGGGTTCCCGCGCGCTGTACTGCAGCAATCACTGCTCCTGATGTAAGCCATTTTGGCATCAGGATGGGTCATATGCAGAGGACAAAATTCCCTACGGGGACAATAAAGTGCACATTTACATTTACATTATACTTTATGATTGCATGAATAATCCAATATTTCTGTATGGATCTGTCAGTAATTCGTAAAAACATTTATAGAACATATATGTCTTGAACATTAATAATCCAAT